TAATATTTTAAAATTTTATGTTATTTCTGGGGTCAAATATTTATTGGATAAAAAGCTACTTGATAAAGGCAATAACATTTTAAGCTAGAAATATAAATATAGTAGAAACTGATTTTTCTAAATTAAGAAAATTACAGGGCATTTCCTAATGAGAATTACAGTACTTCAAAGTGATGTGTTAGTATTTTTAACCCCCAAATCCTGATCTTTATATCTTGAACTCACTATACCCTACCATTTAACAATTTTTTAAAATTTAAAATAGACTTTATGTATATATCATGCCTTTTAAAATATGAAAGCAATATACTTATTCATCCATCAACACATTTTGGAAAATAACATTTCATCAAAAATATCTTAAGAATGAATAGGAGTTCTAGTGGTGCAGTGATTATTCATTGAGCTAACAACATTGTTATTCATTCAGTGGCAGCCACAGGTCAGCTGCTCAAACTCCCCAGCTGCTCCAAGGGAGAAAGATGGGGCTGTCTGCCCCTGTGAAGATTGCATCTCAGAAGCCCACAGGGGCAGTGCTACTCTGTCCTACAGGGTCACTATATGCTGGAATTGATTCGATGGCAATGAGTTTGAGGTTGGTTTGTTTGTTTGAAGAATAAATGTATACTTCCAAATTTTAGATTGACTGGAAGATTTCAGCACTTTCATAAAAATTCCATAACTGTAAAATTCAATATAGTTATTTTTTATTTTTTTTAAATAAGTTTACCTGTTCATAAAGAAGAAAGGTCTTGTCTCTCTCAGATGTCAGAACCTTGACATTACCCTGAATTTCTGCCAAATGACGCTCATATTTTTCCAGCATGCACTTAAGTTCTTCACGGTCTCTTGTTTTCAATAGCTCTACATCACAGTTTGCAACCTAAAATTATTAGATTAAGAAATTTAAAATTCCAATGACACGTAGCACTAGAAGACTGTGATGGCAGTATGAAATCTAAACGTAGGGAACCCTGAGTAGACTCATAAGAACTGCTGGAAACAAGAGTCACAAAGATGCTCCTCTTCTGAAAGAACTTCATCCAAATTCCTCTACATCTGTATGATCGCCTTCTCACCACTAGGGATAAAGAACCTACTATCAAAGAGAGCTCTATAACACAGCAATTCATGCTGAATCTATATGAATTCTCTCCAGATTAGGTAAATTAGAAGCCAATGTTTAAGCATAAAGCTCTAAAAATATTTGTACATTTCCAAAACCTACCCGGGAAGATGGAGATGGGCGTCTTGGACTTTTAGATCTACTTCTCATCATCTTTCTCAAATTTTGAGCTTCACTCTTGTAGTGATCTTTGTCTGCTTCTAAAGTCTTGACAAAGGAATCAAGTCTGGAAGGAGATTTATTTTGTGCTTTTTCAGTCTCTAAAATTATCTTGCCAAGGAGGAAAAAATTAGGCCATTATTTCAAGCTAAACTATAGCATTATTTTTGAACATGAAAGCTGAAAACACAGACTCCTGAAATTCAGTATTAAAATGGCTCAATTTGGTATTTAAGAACATAAAAAAATATAAATAAATCATCATTACTTTAAAACAGCAATTAAAGGTCTTTGTTTTCCAACATTTCTGAAATGTACTATGCACTATTTAACTGAAAGTGCTTCTGAATTTACTCAATAATTTTGAAGAAAAAATGGTAAAGAAATATTAGTGAAACCAGGAATGTCCATATACCTAGTATAAGTCCTAGAAATGGAAGTAAGTTGCTTTAGAAAAATTTACATGCTATGAATAAAAGCATCTCTTCACAGTGCTTAAGTTTTGTTCAACAATTTTCCATGAACAAATAAATGAATGCTGGCCATTTCCACACTTGTGTGCAATTTGAACCCGCCAGCAGCTACACCGGAGAAAGGCCTGGCAATCTGCTCCACAAAGGACAGGTTAGAAAACCCACAGGGAGTTCTAGTCTGTCACCTGGGGTTGCACTGAGTCAAAATAAGCGAGGAAGCACCGAACGACATGCACATTCCAGTGCATGTCCGTGATCTTCACTGACTTTCACTGGATTGAGGAACACTTCTTTTACAGTATCTGTTTACTAATACTGTATTGGAAGAAAATTACAGATAAAAGAATGGGTTTTAAATACAGATAAAAGTTAATGGGAAAAGTCCACTACTTTATAATTAGTTTTTCCATGAAGTTTTTGAAGTTCCTTCATATTTATAACAATCTTAAATGGCAATAGTAAAACATTTCAATAGAGTAAACTTCATGTTGCATTGTTACATAAAAAAGTACATTACTTAGAATTAAACAATAAATTTGGGGTTTAAAAGCCATCTATTACTAAGGGAAATAAAAGTTAATACAAGTACACAACATTTTTTGAATTAAATTATTCACCTTTATCACTTTAAGTACCAGCTAAAGCCATTAATAAAACCGACTGAAAGTTTGTTCTTTCAGGAAAGAAAGAAGTTAATGATAAAACAGAGCAAGAAATGCATCACTTTTACAGATGAGGGTGCTCTTTGGGAAAATGAAAATGTTTTTTATTGATCAAAAAAGGCACAAGTGCCTTTTATTACATGCTATTTATATTTTATGCAGACCATATTAAATACTATAATACATTTAATTAAATTATATATAATTGGTTTACAATCTTACAAACTCCAAAGAAGTAATTCCTTGAAATATATCTAGGAAAAATGAACTTACAGATCTAAGCCTTTTTATTGTATCTTCCAATACAGTTATATTATTTTGCTGGCAAATAAGTTCAATCTGAAAAATAAACCAAGAAAAATTAAACTCTCATTATTTAGATGACAATAATTTAAATCACTTTAATTGGAATGACAGCATCAAAATAAAAGGAAGCTTTTTAGTTAAAAAAAACACTAAGACTAAGAACTATTTTAAGGAAGAGAAGAAATGCGCCCATTCCTTTATACTTACTATACATTTGATGGTAAAGGCGCTTAAGATGAAATATAGCAGTTTCTTTTAATTATTCAGTTTTTTGGATAAAATGTTCATTGATTATATTTTATTGAAGAAATGGGATAAAATATTAATGCTAGTTATAATTTTGAACATGATAATAAGAGATTCAAGAATGACTGGAACCAGAGGCCAAGTAACTACTTTCTTCTCTGAACACTTCTAGTAATGCATAAAGTACTTTCCTATTAGTCTTTGACATTTACTATACCCTGTCTGCAAGCTAGTACAGCTACCTATAGTCACATATTTACCATATGATTAGATTGTAAATTCTTTGAAGACAGTGACTTAAGTTTTTATATAAAGCTATAAAGTTCCTTGCTAAGAGTTGGCAAATTACTTTTTAATTTATGTGTTTTTCAATTCAGAGCCCTTTCCCTTGTGGATGTCTCCTGGTTGCTTGTTATCCTTTAAAGCTGAGTTTACTTCAATTACTATTTTTGTGTCTTCTTACGGCTACAGTTGCTTTCTACTACTTCTCTGGCACTCATATTTAAATAAATGAACTATTAGAAAGTTATTGTTTGGATAATTGTATAGGAACAATTTTCACTGTTTTAATGTATATGACTTTTAATGTAAAAAAAACATGGATGTGTTTTTAGAAGAGGGCTCCAAATCCTAACTACTAGATGACCAATGATCGTGGATACATTTTGAATAAAATAATGTGTAAAGGTGTACATACTAAATTAAATTTTTAAAACTCACATTAAAAAATATAATATATAATTTCATGCTAATAAAGCCTAAATATGTACACATATATTTATACACAAATATCCTAGAAGGGAGAATAAGCTAATGAAGGAAATGTTAACAATAATAAGTATATTATATTCAGCATAGCAAGGTATGATTATAATAGATGGCACTTTGTTTTCCTATATGATCTGAAATGTTTATAATAAATACTTGTTACTTCTAAAATAAAACAAAAACACTGACCTTAAGGTGAAAATCAAAATGGTAACAGGTCCGAATGAGGGAGCTATTAACCTAGGTCTTTTGATTTATTAGACAATTGTTTAATGAATGCCAGTAGGTACACTTTGCTGGAATGAGCCTCTGGACTTTCATATGGTGAACTCCTTCCCACCATTTAGTCTCTTCTTCAGTGAGGTCTTCACCCGTCATCCTAGTTAGAATTCCAACCTGTCCCTCTAAGTAGCTCCAATATCCCTAACTCTGCTATCCCTTTTCTAATATGTCATGTGTTTGTTCTAATATGTCATTTATTTGTTCAGTCTACCTTTCATTGCCTGGCCCAGCTGGATGTATGGTTCTTATGTGCAGGAATATTCATAATTTTCTCTATTTTGTTTCACTCATATCTCAAGATCCTAAAACCAATATAGGAGAGCTCATTACACACTGTCTGATTTATATTTTGCCTACTATTTTTATTGTAATTTTACTAATCTTCCCTAGATATTTGTGAAATATAACACATAAAGAAAAATCTATTAAAAGTAGTTGCACAACCCGTCACATGAAACTGACAGTCTCCTAATAAATCCCCCGGATGTGGTTCTTTCTTTTTTTTTCTTTTCCCACTCACCCTCCCTCCTCAAACCCTGGACTTTCCCACTTTCCCTCCCTCAATCCCTTCCCCACCCTCATCAGAGTATTCAAAGTCTTTTCCTTTGGTGTGAAAGCCTTTTTTATTTTTCTCCTTTATAATAATGGTACCACGAAATAATTATCTTTCTACAATTGACAAACTTTGCTGAGCATAATGTCCCCTCATTTGTCCATGTCATGAGGTGTTTGTCAGACTTGTCATGGTTTTTAAGGATGCGTAATATTCCATTGAGTATATGTACTGTCTGTTTATCCATTCCTCCACAGGCAGGGGTTTTTATTGTTTCTATCATTTTGCTATTATTAGAAATCAATGCAATAAACATGAATTTGCATCTATCTGACTTTGTTCTTTATTTCTCTAGGGTATATACCAAATAGAGAGTTGCAGGATCATAAGGTAATTGTATTTCCATTTGCTTAAGGAAGTCCCACACTATTTTCCATAGTGGTTGTGCAAATCTGAAATCCTACCAGCAATGTATGTGTTCCAATTTCTCCACATCCTTTCCAGCATTTATTATTTCCTGATTTTTTTTT